CTGTGCATGTCTGCTCTTGAGCGGTGAGTCTTTCGGACTTGCTCTACCCCGTCTGTTCTCTGCACCAGCCCCGGTCTTCCGTGTGAATCTGGGCAACTTCACCTTCTGGGCTGCTTAGTATGCAGATGCCAGACGGGAAGAACGGGGCTTCGTAGTGGGAGGCAGCACAGCCTAGAGGTGAAAAGTGGGACTTGAGCCAGACCACCTGCATTTAGACCCCCCTCTGTCACTAGCTAGCTGAGTCACCTCCCAGGGTGCTTTCTGGGCTGTCTGTTGCTGTGTGTCAAACCACCCCAAAACTTACTGACTGAAAAAACACATCCATTTTCTTCTCTCTCATGATTATTTGGGTCGACTGGGCTCAGCAGGGTGGTTATGCTACATCATAATGTGTCAGCTGGGGCTCTAATCACCTGGGGCTCGACCTAGCTGGACCTCCAAGATGAGGGAGCTTGCTCATTCAGGTGGCAGGTAGCACTGGCCATCCCCTGGGACCTCAGATGGGACCGGTGAGCTTCTCCACCGGTGGTCCCCAAGGCTGAGGCTGCTAGGAACCATGGCCCGCGAGATTTGGGTTGGGCTCATGGCATCTCCACTTCCTGTTTATTCACACCCATCACTCGCCCTCACCTGTGAAATGGGGGTGATGCCTCTTCCCCAGGGGCTCTGAGGAGGAGGATGGAGAAGAGCTGTGTGAAAGCAGTCCGTACAGCTGCAGCCTTTGGGGATGCGCTGTTGCTGTGTCGCATGTGTCCCAGGGCTGGAAGTGAGGGCAGCTCCCTGGAAGGGGAGGGTGTCCTGCCTCCTTTGCCACCCCTGACGGGGTTCCGATTCTGCCCATGGCCTCCCATGTATGGTTTCGCCCTTGGTTTTGGCAAATTGGTCCTCCCTCCCTCCCTAACTTCCTAAAAATTTCCTTCCATCCCCTGCCTCCCTACCTCTCCCCTCTCCCTTCCTTCCTTCCCTCTCCCTCTTCACATAAATATTCATTTAGCACACTGGCCATTTTTTTTATGTGGTAGAACCTCTAGTATTTGAACTCTCTTCCCAGGCAGAAAGTCCCAGAGTCAGGATTACCCAGTGTCCAAGCTCCACGCTGGCATCGTGGGGTGGCTGCTGTCGGCTGGCCTGTCCCTGTGCCCCAGGCCCCAACAAGCCAGGAAATGGACCCAGGAGAGTTTGTGGCAGCTCGTGGCCGAGGCAGCCCAGAGGCTGATGCCCAAGGGCCTTCAGTCCTGTGTCCGCACTGCTGTCTGCTCCAGGAGGGGCCGGATTCCTGGCTGCCCTTCCTCAGCAAGGGGCTCTGCCTGTCCCCGCACCCACATTCTGCCACCTGACTTCCCAGGGGCCGGTGGTCAGGGAGAGGTGAACGGAGACAGCCGTTGCTGCCAGTCGCGCATGCCCCAGAGGATGGGGCCATCGGAGAGAGGGCTGCGTGCCCAAGCTGTGTCCTCCAAGCTCCCTGGGCTTCAGGGGGTCATGAGGGATGTTTGTGGCCAGTATCAGTAGAAAGTTGATTTTTCTGATAAAATACTCTCTGCTCCACACTTCTTTTATTGCCAGAATATGAAATAAAAACCAGTTTCCTGGACAATTACTCTAGCCCTTGATGATATTTAGCACCCATCTGTGTAGACAGCATGAAAAGGCAAATTGTTCAGATGTGTAACGAGTTTGGCCATCAGCTCTCAGCCTGCAGTTGCTATTGAGCCAGGCCTGAGTTTCCAGATACATTCCACAAGGTCAGAGTCAGTTCACAGAGTCTTTCCCAGCCAGCCTCCTGGCTTGCTGATCCCAGTACGGCCACGTAATTAGAAGAAAAGCTTCAAAGTCGGGAAGATTTAACAACTCCCAGATACTGATATCCACTGTCTAAAAGGTTCCCTAGAACCAGCATCTTGAGGAAAAACTGATCTGTCAAGAAAATGCCTTCTTCTTAGACATCCATCATTTTTGAAGAGGCTCTTTGTTCTTACCATAAAGTGATGTCTGTCCTTAAAAGCCTCAATTCTGCTTCAGTCCTTCTGGTCATCTCCCTCTGCATTGTGGGGAGACACAGCCAGAGCTCCCTTTTTGCAAAGGGGGTTTCCCGGGCATGAGCTCTGTTCACTTCAGTCTGAAACGAGGCCGCATGTCCAGGGAGTGGTGGGCACGATGGTGCAGCTGGTGTCCTCCCGGCCCCTCCTCCCCCCGCTGGGAACTCCATCTGATCCTCTTATCATGCAGGAGACACTCAGTGCTGAGGGGGAAGCTCAGAGGAGGAGAGAGGCTGGAGCCGCCTACAGCCCTGCCGGAGAGGAGTCCTGGCCTTTCCTCCCGGCTCCCACTCCTTCAAGGGAGTGCCTGGGACGCGACGTGCCTCAGGGCCTGCCTTCGCCCTCTTCCACCCCGAGGCATCAGAGACTGCAGGCAGAGTCTCCCCATCTGGCTTTCTGCATTCTGGCAAAATGCACTGGGGGAAGGAGTTGAAAAAATATATAATTTACATAGAAATACAACGCACACTTACATTAATATACAATGTGTGCGTATCTGTTTGTGGTTACACGACTAAGGCATCCTCATTGTGGCAAGTACAGAAAAGTTCAAACATGTCCAGACTCATCCGACTCTCTCAGCGGTAAGTGACGCTAGGAGTCCCACTGGGCATTCGCAGCCCACGGCTGCTTTTTATTAAGCAGGGACCAGGCGCTTTCTTCCGTGCCATTAAAAATCGATCAAAGCACTCTTTCGGTGGGATTATACTTCTTTATTTCAATTTGCAAACAATATATATAAAAGGGTGTTCAGTAGATAGCTTCACTCCCAGTGCTGGGCACCAGCTGCCTGGGCCCCCCAGAGCCCCCAGGTGCCCCTTTGAGCGGTGTTTTGAGTTTCACTGCTGTAGCTTCTTGATGCAAAAAAAAAAAAAAAATCAATACAACCGATAGTCTTTAATTATTTGTTTTTTGCACCCAAGGTAGTGTTTTAGACCCACCGACTACAACTGGCTTTTACTTTCCCTTGATCGACCCCTGAGCCAAACCTGCCAGGGCCCAGAATTATTTTTATGCTTGCACCCTCGTGAGTGTGTGCACCCCATGTTAACTTGGCCGTCCCATATGGGACATACCACAGGTTCCTGAGCCATTCCTCTGTAGGTGGGCCTTCAGGTTGTTTGCTTTTTTTTTTTTGACTAGGCAATGGAAAGAGAATGACCTTTGATGTAAATGTTGGTGTCTTTGGTTGTTTCTTCTAGATGAATTCTTGGGAGTGAGATTTCTGGGTCAAAGGATGTGGATGTTTTAGGGATCTTGGTACAGGAGCCTCACCGCTTCTTGGTGCATTATACCGTCTCTCCTCTCAGCCAGCCACAGGAAATGACAGTCACCTTCACAACAAGGCCGCACCGATCCCCGCCCAGAGGTTCTGCTCATCTGAAAAGGAAGTGTTTTCGAGGGGCTCTGCAGGTTTCCTCCATGTTGGGCTGGAAGGAATCTCTCAAAAGCAGCTTCTGGGCAGAGCCTGCTGCCAGGAACCCAGTTTAATTGTGTAGCTCCACACATCTCTGAAGGGCTCAGGTTGGGTCATTGTCCCTCTGGGGTGCCATAGATGAGGTGAGAGACACCCCTTGGGTTGGCAGGACAGAGTCATGTCTGGTGTCAAGGATAACAGCACACACTGCTCTTACTTATCAATAATTGTCGTGTTATTATAGCGCAGTCCGTTACTGAGGCCTTTCTACCTGCCAGGCACTGCTTTGCATACTCTACAGGTATTGATGCACTTTGTCCTCAGAATAACCTATGAATAGTACTACTGTTATACCCATTTACAGGTGAGGTCAGTGGGACACAGAGCAATTGGGTGATTTGCTCATGACCTCATGACCGCATTCTGGAAGAGGTGGAGCTGGGATTGGACCATGAGCCACGGGGCCCCGGAGCGCAGGCTCCATAACCACTGGATTCTCCTGCCTCCAGAGGGAGCCCACTGTTTCTTTAAGGAGGACCTTCCTGTGTCTTCTGAACTGCTGTAGGGCAGACCTCCTGGCTAGGAGCCTCACCTTCCCTGTTCACCTGGCTTCTCCCCTGCCTGGGAGGGTTTGTAGCAGAAAAGCCTTTGAGGTTGTACAGACCGGATTCATGTCTCGTTTGCACATGTGTGACTGTGGGCCACTTGTTCAGCCTCCTAGAGCCTCGGTCTCACCTACAGAGTGGTGGTGGGTTACGCCCACTCCCGGAATGTTATCCAGACTGATGAAGATTGTCCAGATGATACGAAATCTGTGACAGGTACAGAGTGTGAAATAAAAGCCCTCTTTCCCTCACTACCCCGCACCCTTCTCTGTTCCACTTGGTTCCCCTTAGTTTGATCCACATTCTTAAGCTCAAACCAGTTCAGATTCGATCAGTTCACAAAAGGAGATGCATTCCCTGCGTGTGATGCTGTCATTCATTTATTGGGCATCCTCCAGTGCTGTCCATTGTGTGTCTGCTTCACATAATAACCGCCAGCACGCCAGGCAGTCGGTCTGTTCACTCCCCATGCTCTCACGGGGCCCTGCTGAGCCAGAGCGCTGACAGGAAGGAGTCACGGGGGCAGGCTCTGGCTGCTGGTGTTGATGCATCGGGTGTGTCTGTGTGTGTGATGTTCATCTTGGCGACAATGAATATATTTTTCTACTGCACATTTGATATCTCACATCTCAGATTTTAACTAGGCCTTCATAACTCCCAAATTACATGCTTTTGTATGCCTGTGATTATCTCAATAGGATGAACAGCCCTTTTTCTGTAAAGATAATTGAGATCTCTCGTGGTGGCGTGTGTTTGTTCCTGGGACACCTTCCCTAGCCATCCTTGCACAGACTCGCTCATTGTTTCCCAGCACTGCTTCTTCACCTCAGTCTGAGCAGGAAACACTCCGGGATCACTGGGAGGCAGGGGTTTTTTTTGATTATGCAAACCATGGTAACCATGATGTGTTTTCTCTCTCCCTTCTCCCTCTCCTGATGGCAGGTGCCTGGAGATTTGAGTCAGACGTCTGAAGACCAGAGTTTGTCGGATTTTGAAATGTAAGTCCACGGCGCCTGCTTACGAGGGGCCCCTTAGAAATGGGACTCTGTGGTTTGGCTTGAGTCCCAGAAGGACCACACGGGGGAACAGAAATCATGTTTGAGTCCGCACAGGCTGGGCGCCTGCAGCCCGAGTCTGGCCTTCAGGTGTGCTTTCTGTTTCCCCTTCAGTATTGAAACACAATTAATTTGGTTTTTGGCTGACATTTAAGAGTCGGAAGATATCACGTACAACTTTAAATTTCCCTATTTTCTTTACAAGAAGACTCAAGTCCTTGCAAGGCCACTGTCAGAGCTAAGCTGCAGGTGCCTCCTTCACACAGGCCAGTGCGCGTCAGCAAGCCGCAGTCCCCACTTCTCCCTACTGCACGGCTCTGGCCCACCACTCATTGCTTTGTCTGTGTGTCTCCTGCAGGAATTTCAGTTGACAGCCCCTGGGTTGTTGGAGACAGCAATAATTCAGTACATTGGTCTGGATTTTTTTTATTCCTCACCCCAGGATATTTCCCATTGATTTTCAGATTGAGTTGGGAGGGAGGGAGAGAGAGAAACATTGACGTGAGAAAGACACATCGATTGGTTACCTCTCACATGACCTCGACCAGGGCTGGGGATTGAACTGAGGTATGTGACCTTGACCAGAATCGAACCCAAGACTCCTTGGTCCTCGGGCCGACGCTCTAACTGCTGAGCCAAACCGGCCAGGGCCATTGGTCTAATTTTTTTATTGGATTCAATTCTATCAGCTGCCTCTGCTGATAACCCCTAGGGAATTCAGTTGGTCTTCAGCCCAAATATTTCTGATCAGGTTGCCTTGGATTTTGGAAGAGCTGGTAGAGAGGGTGGAGTAGGTCCTGGATAAGGCCAGGCAGAACCCCACCTTTCTCCTTTATCTGCACCGAGTGGAAGAAGTGCAGCCTCCCGAGGGAAGGCGTCATCTGGGAAGAGCCCGCGGCTGGAGGGCGAGGCAGGACATGGGAACGAGCATTTTGTCCGCCAGGCTGGCCTGTGTTGAAATCTCAGCTACGGGACTCACACGGTTGTGACCTGGGCAAGCCACTTACCCTCGCTGGGCCTGCGTTTCCTCATTCACAAGACCAAGGTCATGGTGCCAGCCTGGCAGGTTGTGGTGGCGATTAGAGTGAGATTATGAAAACGTGGAGGGCATCAAGGGGCCTCTTGGTGGGGGTGCAGGGGGCAGTTAGGTTGGTAGGATGAGGAGGTCCGTGCGGTTAAGAGTGAAGGATGAAAAGCAAAGGGAGTTTGCCTCCCATGAGTCTGTGGGTGGGGTGAGGACAGCATGAAGCAGGTAGTGGGTGGAGGGCCGGGGTGGGCACAAGCTGGGGAGACAGGTGAAAGCTGTACAGGAGAGTCCCAGAGGTGTGTCAGTTGTAACCAGAAGGGACTCATTATTCAAGTAAGATTGTATCAAGCACCTGCGGCAGAGTGGTGTCATGTCAGGTCCTCGGTGGAGGGGATGAATAAGCCACGGTTCCTGCCCTCCGCTGCCGCTGCCTGGTCTGGTCACATCATCTCCCTGAGCTTTGCAGCCTCCTCCCACAGGCGTACTTATCTCCCTACAGCCAGAGGGGTGCGCTGTGTCCCTCTCAAGATGGAGACCAAGTCCACCCGGTAGCTTGCCAAGAAGGCCCATGCTGACCTCTGGCTTCTTCCCAGCCCCGTCCCTGCACACCAGCCGCCCTGGCTGTCTCGACACCTCTAACTCACTTGCCTTCCCTACTCAGGACCATTATTGCATTTCCTTCGCCCACCCCAGCACAGCATTTCCTCTGCACTAGGCACTGTTCTAACTCCGTCCCTGCAGCAACCCTCTGACGTGGATGTCGCCCAGAGGCAGGCTGGATCTAGTCTGTGCCCTTCACAGGTGTGAATCCACCTGCCGGAGCACCTTCCTGACCTGGCCTCTCCTCCCCGCTTGGCTGACTCCCAGCCTTCCCCAGAGCCCTGCCCACACGTGGCTTCCTGACAGAAGCACGACCCCTGGTGTCACTCTCCTTGGAACAGTATTCCTCAGTGGCACCCACAGCAATGATAATTTAAAAACTTTTGTGTAGCAGTTATAAACATATGCACCTAACAACAGAGCCCCAAAACATACCATATAAAAAATGGACAGAAATGAAGGGGAAAATATTTGCAATATTTTCTAGTTGCAATTTGCAACTATTGCAATAATAGTTGGTGACTTCAGTACCCCACTTTCAGTGATGGAAAGAACATCTAGAGGGACCTGTAAGGGGAGAGAAGGCTGGGAAGCAGTTAGATCTAACAGGTGCCTACAGAACACCCCGCCAAGCGGCAGCAGCTTGTCCAGCCCTTAGCAGTCCTGGAAGGTTAATGAAAACCAGAATGTTAGTTACACTTCTGCACCCCCCCCCCTACACACACACCTTGACAGAAATGAAAGGGGAACACTTTAGGCACTGGTACAATTTTGGGGACCTTTACAGGAAGACAGCCATTAGACATACAAGCCAATGTGGTTGCTCAGAATTGCAGTTTGTATTTGGAGTCCTGAGGAAGTGATCAGGAGGGCTTATTCTGCCCAGTGAGGGAGGTCAGCACCTCTGCTCAGAGCTCAGAGGAAATATGAGGACCATTTCTTTGTGAAAGTAAAATGCTGTTTATTCGAGAGGTTGTGAGACATGTTGGACCATGGAACCTTCCATGATCAACATCTCAGGTTCCCAGCTCAGGAGGTGGTGGATTTCAATGAGCTGCTCTTGAGAGAGGAGGAGAACTTGGGACCAAGTGTTTAGCCTCAGAACGGCTCCAAGGAGAGGCAGGGGCTGGAACATGCCAGCCCTCCCAGAATCGCACAGAGCTGTTTGGATAGCCGTTACCACTGACCTCGAGCTTCAGCCACAGTCCACTTACCAGCTGCTCATGAACTGCATCCAGCCTGGTGGAGGTGTGGTGGGGGGTCGGGGGCTGTCTACCCAGTGACTCATAAGTTAAGTGTAAAGCTTCCCAGAAGGCAAACTGCCACATAACCAAAATAACCCTGGAAAATTCCTTGATGGTTTATGAGGATTCACTGAGATAATATATATAAAAGCACGGAGCCATCAGTTGTTAGGTATTTGGTAAATGATTTTGTATTTGAATTTAAATCTTGTTTTATTTCAGCCCTAAGCAAAGATTTTGTTCATGGAAAAGTTGAACGAGGGGTCCTTGCACCCGGCTTTGGTGCCGTACCTCGTTGTCTTCCTGTCTCGCCCTCCCCCACGCGGTTGCTCTCACAGCATGGGCTCTCGCGGGTCTGATCTTACACGGGTCGGGTCTAAAGTGAGCACGGCAGGGACAGCAGGACTCCTCTGGGTGTTCCTGGGACCCCGTGGGCACGGCCCCAGGACTGCGCAGTCCCATCAGGGCCTTCTGGTTTGTATCCCCTTCTTCAGGGGAGGAAGCTGAGGTTCACATAAATTATGAGCGTGGTCACTCAGAACTGAAGGGCAGCTCAGCCTCATTCCAGAATACAAGCTGCAAGTATAAATAAAAATAAATTTTTTAAAAAACGAAGCCCTTTAAAAATAATCGTGGGGGACCACGAAGTAGCGACACTGAGGCTGGTCCTTGACTGTTGCGTGTTGGAGATGTTGTCATCAATCGTTTACGCACGGTGCCCACCTCCTTTTTTTTGGTAAATTGAAACGACCGCTCTCGATCTCTCCTTGGTCAGATCAAACCGGGCGCTGATCAACGTCTGGATCCCGTCAGTGTTCCTCCGGGGCAAAGCGGCGAATGCGTTCCACGTGTACCAGGTAAGGCCTGGCGGGCAGGTGGGCATCCCGCTGGGGAGAACGGGCACCGGCTTGTCGTGCCGCAGCCTCTGCCCGTGGCAGTGCGCGCTGGTGCCCTACGGAGGAGGCCCCGCCGCACACACCAGCCTCCAGCCGCCCCGTCCCTGCAGGAGTGGGCCTCCGTCAGACAGGAGGGAGCAGGTGGAGCTTCTCACGCCAGTTAGGCCCCTCGTGTGGCCCTGGCCCCCCGCTCAGGCTGCCGGAGCAGAGACCGGAGCGGCTGCTTCGCTGGCACTGCCGAGTCCAGGCGTCCAGGCGAGCTCTGGCCGGGAGTGACTGGTGCTGTGCTCAGGAACCGGCTGCCATCTCCCCTTCCCTCTGCTGAGGCGCCCTCCCAGGGGGCGCTCTGGGGGCTGGTGAGAGGGCTCCAGCAGTGCCAGCCTCGGAGCCGCAGGGTGGGCTTGGCGAGTCCCCAGCATTTCTCAGTGGTCTGTCTTGGATCTCAAGCCCGTCCCTAAACCTTGGGACTAGATGATGGACTTATGTGATTGGCCAGGTTTGGGTCACGTGACCACCGCTCGCAGTAGGGGTGGAGTGGACCTTATCTGACCCAGTGTCTGAGAGAGGGGAGACTCCCCAAATGTGAACCAGGATACTCTCTCCAAAGAAGGGGCAACAGGGACACACAAACGGCAGATGTCTCCTTTATCTCCTTAAGGCAGAGCTGGCCACACACTGGTTGGGGGTTGAGTGTCTGGGACCCTGGGAGTTTTGTCTCTTTTGGAGGTGGTTTTGCCTCAATGACTGGGACCCAAGTTTTCTAGCTTTTCTCTGATTTTCTGACGGCTCTTCCAGTCCTGCCTACTTATTCTCTTTCTGTCCGTCTTTGTTCCCGCCTTGGATCCTGATTTCCAGCCGCTGGTGTTCACTCGTCCTGGGACTGTTCTGTTGTCCACTCTGCCTTGTAGTTGCTTCCAGTTCTGCTGTCTTCTTGTATCACAACAATGTTCGCTAAGTGTTGTTTTTATTCCCCACGAGCTCTGTGAAAAGCCTTACGTTCTGTTGCCTTGTCCCAGTGGCGAACTGACCCATTGAAGAAGACTTCTCAGATATTAAGATATTTCCCCCGAGACTGAGGTGGTGAAAAAAGTGACCCTGAACTTGAAAGTAAAAGCCCTGGTTTCAGTTTTGTGGCCTTAAGTAAACCTTAGCGTCCTCGTCTGTGACATGCAAATGACGACAGTTATGTGGACACTCTCATCAGCATCAGGTGACGCAGTCCCCGGAGACACTGTTTTTTTTTTTTATTTTTTTTTTATTCTCACCCGAGGATATTTTTCCATTTTTTTGTACAGATAGAGTGGGAGGGAGAGAGAGGAAGGAAGAGAGAGAGAGAGAAACATCGACGTGAAGGGACACATCGAGTGGCTGCCACCCGCACGACCAACCAGGGCCGGGGACAAACTGCAACCGAAGTACCTGCCCTTAGCGGGAACCGAACCCGGGTCTCTCAGGACCGCAGGCCGACGCTCTAACCGCTGAGCCAAACTGGCCAGGGCGGGGAGACACTGTTTTCATTTCCCGTTTTCCGAAACCATGGCCGTGCTGGGCCTCCGGGCGCAGGTCTGGTGGTGCGCGACGCACACCACCTGAAGTCTCAGGACGGATGGTTTGGCCGGGACGCCGCCCCGGAGAGCCGTGTGCTCCCTTGCTCTCCGCTCTGACTCAGAGCGGAGGGTTAGTTGTGACAGATTTCTGAGTGTCCTCTCCTCCTTTCTCTTTGTGTCCCCAACCCCAGCAAACAAACAAGCTCCCTCTTATTTGAGTGCCCTTCAGGTTCCGCTTTGCGGTCACCCGAGAACCGGGCGGCGCCTGGAGGACGGAAGGGGTGCGGGCAGCTTTCCCGGCGGAACGGAAAGATGGCATCATTGGAGCGCTTCCCTCGACCTTTCTGTTTGGACCCTCCCCGCCCCCACCCCAGGAAGCGACTTGGCAGGTTCTCGCTTCCGAAAGTCCATTATGAAGTGAGGCAGACACGCGCTGCCGTTGCCCGGGAGACCGTTTCCACAGCAGGCACTGTGGCGTCCCCGCCACCTGATGGGCACACACTTTCCCGAGCTTTCCTGGGTGCGGTCCAGCCAGCGCACGGCTCGGGCTGCAGAGGGGCCTCAGGAGGTATTACCGAGAATCTGCCCGGACGCTGGCAAAGCGTGCTCTGAAGTGCCAAGGGGACCGCGATCTTGTGCCAGGGAGGGACCCGGAGTCACTGGCTCAAAGGACTCTGGCAGGAAGGGCCGTCCCTGCCCAGACCGAGGATTTGCAGGGTGTGCGCCTCTGAGCACGGTGGCTCCGTGCTCCTGGCCCGTGTGCCGAGGTTGGGACCGCGGTGTGTTCTGGCTCTAAAAGTGAGAAATGCAATGCCAGGCCAATTTTCAGGACAAGTAAAATCGATGTCCAGAACTTTCCAGTGCAAGTCTTTCGTCCATGAATATCTCTTACGCTTCTGGCCCCCGCTAATGCTGGGCCGCTGGCAGACGCTGGCCGGAGATAAAATGATTAAGCAGCAGCAAATAAGGTGAGGAACAGGACTCGGTCTGCCAGCTGGTCCTGCTTAGTTCTCCTCTTTCTGCTGTGCTTCCAGGTTTGATTTTCCGTCACTTCCATCCGGTACAGTTACATCTGTTGTTCACCAACTAGTTCCCAGTTTCTCCCTTGGAAGTGTTTGATGTTATTCCCCAAATGCCCTGACTTCCAAACTAGTTTGCGGTCCACTGCGTTAGTGCTGCTGGGGCGTCTGTGAAGGCAGGCCAGGCGGGAACACAACCCGCCTGCTTTCTCTTAAGCAAGGAGCACAGCCTCTCAGCTGCCTGAGCCCCAGGTCTCTCCCTCTGAGACGCTGCTCACTGTCAGTACAGCTGGAGTGAGGCTCGAGGGGGAGGCGTTCAGCCCGCTGCACAGGATCGCACCTGCGCAGCTCAACCCGCCAGGCCTCCTTCGTCAGGAGGCTGCTTCCTCCAGGAAAAGTCCGTCCGCCGTGCTGGAGAGCACAGGCTTGCTGGAGGAGAGGTGGCCCCCAGGAAGACCCCCTGAGCATTTGCTGGAGAGCACAGGCTTGCTGGAGGAGAGGTGACCCCCAGGAAGACCCCCTGAGCATTTGCTGGAGAGCACAGGCTTGCTGGAGGAGAGGTGGCCCCCAGGAAGACCCCCTGAGCATTTGCGGTCTCCCTCCCCCCAGGAGGAGAGCCCGTAGCCTGGGCAGTTATTTCCAAGGTTCATCCTAGGGCAGGGTATTTATACACGCGGTGCAGGAGCATCCATTGTTTCCCCGTTAGTAACAGATCACAGGGCCCAGGAAGGCTGCGTGGGGTGCAGGCAGTTTGGAGGATTGTGATGTTTCTGCTCTTTGCACTTTCGAGTTTCTCAGCCCTTCCGTTTCGTCTTCTCTTCCGAGGCTTACCCCTGGGCCCTCAGGCTTCCTTCCCCCACAGCTGTGTCCCCATGTTTTCTTGGCGGGAGCTATGCAGAGAGGGGGGAGTTCACTAAGCAGTGAAGGTAGAAACGGTGGGGCCTGACGCGGAGCGGGGTCACCGTGGCCGTACTCGTGCACCCCGAGAAGCCCTGCCCCGGAAGGTGCGCAGCCAGGTCTGGGGAAACGGGCACCTGTTCTGGAGCCGAAGTGATTCTTACCCATGTCCAGTCCTTCCCGCCACACCTGTGTGTGCAAGGCAGGCAGGACAGGCAGCTGTGGGTCGTTCAGTTTCAGAGTTGCCTTCCGGCCAGCGTGGGCTTAGGGGCTGCAAGTCCACGGAGCCTTTGCTCTGTTTGGCTTGTTCCTTCCTCCAGCACTTCCCATCCCACGAAGTCAAGCTCCTCAGCCCCTCTGGGGACAGCAGCCGTTCTTGGATGCTCAGGGCCTCCAGGAACGCCTGATACAGGCAAAACACACACGTGCGCACACACACACGTGCACACACACACGCGCGCACGCACACACACATGCACACACGCGCGCGCGGTTTTCCTCCCTATGGATGCTGTGTTGCTCTTATTTTCTGTTGCTGTGTTTAGATTCCCAAACAGGAGGAACTTCCTTCCCTGTCACAGTGTGGTTCCTTTCTTCATCGCAGAGCTGTTTATTGAGGGGCCCCGGTCGCCAGCCCGTGTTGAACTGTGTGGAGCCAGCGGTGACCGAGCCGGCGTTAAGCTCACCCTCCCAGCCTCACATTCCAGGGGAGACAGATGCTGTGGACAGGGACAGAGAGAGGGACGGGGAGGGAGGAATGCACTCAGCTCGCAGAGTGACAGCACCTGTGACGGAGGGCGTTCAGCACAGGCCTGGCCCACGCTGCTGGGTGAGCGCTCCTCCCGTGACCTGCTGGCCTGGAAGTGAGCAGTGAGCAGTCCCCGTGTAACTGAATGTCTCTGGCTCGTCTCTGAGCTCACACAAGCCTTCATTTAGCATTTGCTCGATCGGGGGCCCCACAGCAGCTGCCCCTGGGGCTGCAGCGAGCCAGATGCCTTTGTCCTCAGGGCAGAGTCTGTGCAGGCTCCCGCAGGCCTGGTGGAGGGCGAGCTCTTCCGGTCAGGGAGTCCAGAGCTCAGAACACAAAATCTAGTTATGATTAACTTCCCAAATGAGACTCCCTAGAGGCCTGAAGGAATCGATGCCCAGGCCCCAGTACATTATAGCTTTGCCAGCTGAGTTTAGTCTTGTTTTAAATTTGAGCACAGTCATTACTGGTTGAGTAGTGAACTGGACCCTGCATCGTTCACCAGCATCTCCAAGGTGCCTGCCCGCACGTGGCCGCAGCATCCCCACCCTCTCTGCCCCTCCCGGGGAGGGCTCCCCAGCTGGTCTTCTCGTGGGGTGCACAGGTCTGGATGACTCAGCGCCTGTGTGTCCTCGGTGTCAGTTGCTGGACTTACAGCTGGGCTGGCCTGGCCGGGGGCCCCTCTAGGTCTGGCGCACCGGCCCGTGTTCTTCAGTGTGCTGCAGCTGCTCTTTGGTGGTGGTTGTGGCT